AGAACGACCAACTTGGAATTCACTATCTTCAATATTCAACGTCTAGACAAATCGATAGCTCTATACATAGGTATCATGTCAAATCATGTCTGTCACCTCATTCTATACTTGACCGACAAACTTGAAAACCTCAAACTGCATTCGATGTCCAAGATGTCCAAGATGCCATCAAACATCGACGGTGCATCAAACCATTACCAGGTCGAGTCGCCTTAAATCGGGATGAATACAGAGATAGTTCTTGATAGCCCCTGTTTACCGTCATGTCATGATGACCTTCTGTCACGACATAAAGCGTGACAAGCTCGGCCTGGATTCATGTCCAAGATGTCACCGTTAGTGATTCTTCTACTCGCCGTTGTGTTAAAACAAGGCGCATCCATTCACTACACACGCGTGATAAGAATCAAAAGTGGTCCAATACGAGGTATTGTCAGTCAGCTCAATACCGGTGGTGCCATCAGAAAATATCTCGGTATACCTTTCGCTAAAGCAGAGCGTTTTGGTRAACCYACGGACCCAGAMCCCTGGACTGACCTCAAAGATGCAACCACTAACGGAAARATGTGTCCACAGGAAGAACTGTATGGGCGAAAATTCGATGATATGAGTGAAGATTGCTTGAATTTGAAYGTRTTTGTYCCTGAAGGAGCTGGHTCTTCACTGCCTGTAATGGTATGGATTCACGGAGGAGCGTTTCGAGTTGGCACTAATTATGAAGATGGCAATTATCTAGCGTCACTTGGTGTGGTCATTGTAGTAACTATCAACTACAGACTCAATATATTTGGGTTCTTGGCAACGAGTAAAGATGGCGATCTCACGGGAAACTATGGATTGCTGGATCAGGTGAAGGCACTGACTTGGGTCCAAAACAACATAGGAAAGTAAGTGTTGTGCTAGTGACTATATATATGGTTGATCAGGGACCAGCGTTATTTATTGGATCAGGATCAGAGATTTTTCAAAGATCAGAGTTTTAGCTTTGGGAACGGGAATCACCGAGGAAATTAAATAAACAGGGCCAGGTTGTTCATATATGAATATGAGAACCGCATCGCACTATGACAGAATGATATAGAAATGAAAGAAAGTTATAGTGCTTAGAAGGAGGCAATTATGGGTGAAACACCCTTAGGAATAAATTCGGAAAATTAATTTCCGACCTCGCTGGGATTCGAACCTACGACCTTCGGATTTGTACTACTAGGTTGTTCATAGCCCGATTAACGTTAATCAGGGTTAACAACTCCAAGGATTAGCGCTAATCGAGCTTTGAACAACCGGGCCCTATTTCTACATTTAACGTTTAAGTATGGTATATAAAATACTAAGGATAAAATGATCTGCGTAGTAAAGAAAAAAATCTCATTCTGCAAAAGAAAAAGCTCCCTTATCTGTCATTCATAGATTTGGCGGTAATCGTAACAAGGTGACCATATTTGGCGTGTCTGCTGGGGGTGCTAGTGTATGTCATTTGGTTCTATCACCTATGGCTGAAGGTCTTTTCCAGAACGCCATTCCACAGGCTGGTGATGCTACTGCAGAATGGTCATATAACACTTATAGCGTGGCTTTACAAATAGCAAAGTAAGTCTACCTATAGAAATTAATATTTGGATTGAATAAGACAGCAATGCTTGATTGGCTGATGTAAACCTTTCGTTTGTCAAGGATGGTTGGGAAAGCCCTCGGGTGTGAAAGCATAGACAGTTTGGCAGACTGTTTGAAGACCAAGAGTTGTAAAGAACTTCTTAGAGGAACTGATGTCATAAGAAAAACCACTCTTTCTTTCGCTCCAGTCGTAGGAGGGTCACTTTTACCGGCAGGTAAGGAATCTCCACCGCGTCAAATAAAGAGTAGGAATAATAGTTGCAAGTTGTGTGCCTTTTTCTTCAATTTATTCAATTTATATGCATATATAGATATATAATATATAAATTGCTTCTCTCTTTTTGTTATCAGACACTCCAGAAGCTTTGCTTTCCAGCAGAAACATCAGTGTTAATATTCTAATAGGATTTAACAACAACGAAGGAACCGCTCCAACCAATGCAGTCCAAGGTGAATATATACATATATGGTATGCTTTTCTATCGGTAATCATCCATTATTTTTTCACTTCAGGTGTAGCAATGATCTTTAACGTCACTGATGGATTCGAGAGATCGCTCTTTGAATCATTGCYACGAAAAGGGTATCTAAACTGGATTGTACGAGGTCAAAACAAGGTTATCAACGAAGCCATTCTCTACCGCTACACGGACTGGGACAACGTTACAGATCG